TACTGTTATAACTTTATTGTTTATTTAGAGCATTTTAATTAATAAGAAAATTAATTTTTTGATTGAAAAAATGTCACTTTTCTTGCGATTGCTGTGACTCCGTCAATTTTTCATATTTTTATTTGCAAGTAGGTTCAATCTCCGCGAAATTGACTAATAGCAAATTCGGTTGGACGCAGCAGTGCACATTAAAGCCGTTGTACACTGATTTAATCTCTAAAATTTAAAATAAAATGCAAATATTTCGACTGATAAAATGCCCAATACACATTTTACCAAATAGTACAGTAAAGAATATTAAAGATTTCGTGACTCAACCCGTTTATATTAAACATACACTTTACGTTTATTTGTGCAACGGCTTTAATGTGCACTGATTGTGAGTGCGCACTGGTGTGTCCAACCAAATTCGCTATAAGCTTTAACAAAAATTATGGTTTTTTGCTTTCAGATGAATCAGCTCGTTGCTATACTGTATGCCGAAAACCGATGCGCTACCGACATTAGGGGTATTCAAATAAGTTAGAGTTTAACGGTTTGACAGGTTATGTCGGGTTAAAGTTGGGTAAAAAGTTAATTTTTACACTTTTAACCCAAAGATTAATGTGATAGGTTAATGAGTCACTTATGTATTTTGCATAACCTTAAAGAGTAGCGCGCCCAAAGTTAATTAATTAACTTTTTACTCGACTTTAACCCGACATAACCTGTCAAACCGTTAAACTTTAACTTATTTGAATACCCCTATTGTGTCACAAAGTTGTACGCAACACGATAAAAATTAAAAAAATTGGAAAACCGACATATCTCTTTTTCTTCTTTAAGAATGCCTTTTTATATTAAAAAAAATTATCTAATATCACTTATAATTTCCTTTAAAAAAAATTCTTTAAAATCGTAATTTTTTGCCCGGTTACACTAGAATTCCCCCTTAAGGATGTATTGGCTATCTTCCAAATGATGCAAAGTCGATAATTTGTGAGATTGTTCTTTTAGTCTTCCTGATGTGCTGCAAGAAAGTTTAAACGAATCTACTAAATGGGGTTTCTGAATTATGACGATTTTAAGGATGTATTGGAAGTAGGAGAGACCGGCGGGGAGTCGTCAACAATTATCTCGAAATCTGTATGTTGTGTAAACTCGCCATTAATATTGTAAACACTACTTATGGTGCCCATGTGACTAACGGAGTTTAGTGAGATTATAAGCCATGTTGTGATTATCATTAAGGCGTGTTTTCGGAAATAAAAAATAAAATTTTTTGCGCGTCAAAAATTTTAAATATTTTAAATATTTTCTCTCCGAATCTCGAGATAAGAACGCATGCTGAACACAAATCCAGTGAAAATTTTTATTTTTGTTGATTTCTAATATTTCATGAGAGATCAAACTTAAAATCTATGTCCAGGGCAAAGTCGTCACCAAGCCATATCATGGAGGCTTCGGGCGAAAATCAAAATCGAAGAAGCAGCAGTGGTCGGATTCCGGCGAGGACTTAGATGTATGTGCTGCGTGTGCTCAGAGATGACAGAATAGAGCTGAGACGAGAAACAGTGTACTTCGTGTAAGCGTAGGGCACATAAGTGTGTGCGCTTTTCTTGTAATTATTTTCGCCATCGGGTTTTTAATTAATGTTTCCATTTTTCTATTAAAAAATAATTAATAAAATGTATCCTATCATTTTTCATGATCGGAATTATAAATTTTCATTTAAAATTTAGTCCAAAAATGGAGTGACGACTCCGCCCCGGCAATTTTGACATTTCAATTTTTGCACTTTCGTCGTTTTCACTCTATACCAGTTGAACAAAGCGACGTAAACCAAAAATGTCGTTATAAATTTTGTAGCCAAGGGTTTACTCTTTACAACGGTATATCACATTTTACTAAAATTATTTGTTTTGTTGTTAAAAATCGGCACCGAAAAAATAGCGACGACTTCGCCCCGGTCTTCCCTATTAAGTTAAAAATGCTCTGTAACTGATTTATTAAACGATTTGAAAGTTATTTAAGTTTAAGGTTAATAAAATTAACATTATCCCTTATGGAGAATCGACATTTTTGCTGTAAATTCAGAAGAGGATATAAAGGGTCTGGCCAGTTTTCCTATGGCGGAATGCCCCCAGGATATCGAGCTGATTTTCACACATAAAGTAACCTCATGACCCAACACTAAATTACCGTTTATAACAGCTTCTAGAACAACATGGTTCCGGAGTTATGGCGTCAAATTAAAAAATCAAAGTTTTTTTTCTCCGGAACGAAAAAAGCTAGGACCTTGAAAAAAATATGGGTAGTAGAGGATACCTTAGGAGGGTTCAAACAAATATGGTTTAATTTGATTCCGACATTTATAGTGTCCAAAAAAATATTTTAATTTTCAAAACGATATTTTTTTAGCCCTTTTCGGTCACACTTCCCGAGAATCCCGTACCGGTCACACTGGGTGAAATACACCCCAGCGTGTTTGCACGTGTATAGTTATTTGTGTAACAAGTGCGGGAAGTTGAGAATTGGACACGCGTGCGGAGTGGACGCACTTGTGTCCAATTCTCAACCCGCACGTGTTACACACACTATTTTATATCACAAGTGCGTCTAAAGTTTAAAAAAGAACTTGCAGAGGTGAGCCGTCGTGGTCGTCCTTGCAGGGCGAGGGGGGGCGAAGCCCCCCCGGGTTCTTAAAGAAGGATTTGCGGGGAGCTGTTTCTCCCGAGGGAGGGCGAAGCCCCCCCGAGGGGGGGGGGGGGTGGGGGGGGGGTGGGGGGGGGGCGAAGCCCCCCCGAGTCGAACAGTTGGGCGCAGGCGGGGAGGAGGGCGCGGGGGAGAGGGGCTCCGCCCCTCCCCCCGCCTATGATAAAAGCAACGTTTATTACAGGAGCAAACATGATGTAATAAGAAAGGTAAAACAACATTACGTATGCACAGTAGTCCAATGTCTTGATCAATAAGAATTGAATCAAAATGCTCGTAGGCTCGAAGCGTCTCCGTTTCGCAGTTGCATTTGCAGATTAGGTTTTCGCCGGCTCGTAGCTCGAGGGAACGGTGCCGGCACGTGCCGGGCTTCCCGACGATTCGCGTTTCGTTCCCGGAAGACGCGATCCCGACGACGGACGGTTTATCAATCGTCCTGGCGTGCAAATCCGCGCGACACACGTGCACACACATACACATCCGCTACGCGACTCCTCGACGATTTCGGGTACACGAGAAATTATTTTTTTGTGGACATCCTATAGATGTCGGAATCAAATTAAACTATACTTGTTTGAACCTTCCTAAGATATCCTACTAGCCTTATTTTTTTCAAAGTCCTAGCTTTTCCCGTTCCGGAGAAAAAAAAATTTTGATTTTTTAATTTAACGTCATAATTCCGGAACCACGTTGTTCTAGAAGCTGATATGAACGGTAATTTAGTGTTGAGTCATGAGGTTACTTTATGTGTGAAAATCAGCCTGATATCGCTGGGGGCATCCCGCCATAGGAAAACTGGCCAGATCCTTTAAAAAATCAGATATTTCTAAAACTTTTTTTTATATGTACAACATACATCATTGATATTGTATTTTAAGTTTAAAAACTTTTTACTAAAATTTTCTTATTTTTTAATTGTTTAAACAATACTAATTATTTAAATAACAAAAAACTATACTCAAACTGTTAACGGTAATCCTCTCTAACATATAAAAAATATTGAGTTGTTTGACATACATGCAAAGTCTTCATTTTAGTAATTTTTTATTGAAACGCTAACTTTTAGCAGAGATTGTACGGCCAATACATCCTTAAGCAGTAAGACGTAAGCTGTAAGGAAATCAACAATTTGGATTCGCTATCGCTTACGTTATGTCTTAAGTTCTTGACTGTTTGGCTGATAAACAAAGTTTTTCTATGTGCCCGAGCTTTAATATCTAAAATTCCTCGTTCCTTATATTTTTGATTATGCGGGGGCCCTTACGATAATATGGTTCTGTGATTCATAACATTTTAAGATCGTACTTAAGACGGTCTTAGGCTGGGTCTACAATGAGTCGCAGTCATAAGAGTCATAAGAGACTTTCGCACACGAATCGCCAATAATATATTATTTATCTTTGTTGTTCACCTTATTATTAACCTTGTTGTTACGAATCTTAAACAAGGATAAATGATGCATTGTGTGGATTATGCATGAAACGGAATGCATCCAGAGTTCAAAACTATGCCAACAGATATAAACCTACTTTGTAAGATACTTAATTTCATCGCTAACTTTATGACAATTCATAAATTTTTCAAATCAAATACTCATCAGAAACGATTAAATTCAACGAGTTTAATTTAGCATTGTTATCTCAAATACATTGCGTACATTATACAGGGTGTTTCAAAAGATTACTGCCAAACTTAAGTAGCGTATAGAAAGGTCAAAATGAAACAACTTTCAATTAGGAGAGCCTATATGTTCTCCGAAGTAATCCTGAGTCAGTGCAGGCCCTTGAATGTATGGAACTCGAATAATATACCAATGAAATAATTGTAATTTGCTATCCTTCCACTAGATTTATTTTGTTTTTATTAAGGTTTTGTTTTATTAAGGGTATCGTACGATACCTGGGATATTGAGAATGCGCCAGAGTTCTGTTAGAAGATGCAATGCTTACATTAAATGTAGAGGTCGCTAATTTGAACATCTTTTGTAAATTCTGTTTATAAATTAATGTAATCCTTAACAAAACCTTAATAAAAACGAACTATAGCTAGTAAAAGAGCAAATAACGAGTATTTCATTGGTATATCATCCGAGTTCCATACATTCAAAGGCCTGTACTGACTCAGGATTACTTCAGAGAATATAGGTTCCTAATCGAAAGTTATTCTATTTTAACTCCTCTATACGCTCCTTAAGTTTGGCAGTAACCTTTTGGAATACCCTATATACTGAAGATGTGAATTGACAAGTACTTTGACATGTATGATTTTAAATTAAATTTATAAAATTGTGAATATTAGAAACTCACCAACTTCCCCATAATTCCCGTTCCTACTGTGTCAGTACACACATTCTCAATGAATGGCACATGAGCCTCAAGTGCATATACCAACAACATTATGCCCACTAATCTGACAAGAGCAACTTGCGTATAAATTCCTCCAGGATGAAGTGAATTGACTATAATTTGCCTATGGATAAATTTTTTAAGTTAAACAATTGCTGTGTGCTAACACATTACTTTTTCAGGTTCAACACAAATGACGTACCTCCATTCTTCTTCTCTGGGAGTTTCGTGAAATAGAAACGCCTCTTTGCTTAAATCTAATTCTTGGAATCCAATAGCGTATATATCTGGTGGCATTTTGTCTATGCTCAACCATTGATCTAACTTAATGCCATTTGGGGGTTGTCCATTTACGTTCCACGTGCAAGTAAGTATACTATAATTATAAGTAATCATGTTACATATGAATAATCGTGATATGCACGAACACATTTTTTTAATTTAATTTAAAAAAAAAAAAAAGATTTGGAATGCAAAGTCGTAATAACGTGGGATAACGAACCGAAATGTTTTACTATACGTATAATCATCTTCTTTACAGGCCATCTGATATCGTACCACCGATTCTCTTGCAGCTACTGGAGATCTACCAGAGGCGATGCTTTGTCTTGGTATTGCTAAATCATGATTCTCAAGATTGAGCAACTGTAAAAGATAAACTTTTACTCTACAACAGATTCCATCACTCTTATTTATTTCTATAACATTTGTTATTATTATTATACATTAACTCACAGAATCGACAGCATCTTGCATATCTTTACCACCAGTAGTTAAATTTCTTGTACTTCTCGTTAGCTTTTCGATCCACGAAAATTCTGCCGCTGGGCTCTTAGCTGTCTGATACACTAAAATCACAATTATTTTATTTGAATATCTTCTATAAATGCCTTCTGCTAAAAATTACATCAGATGCATACGCGCATGTACATACTTTCTATCGCTCGAAATATCTCTGATACTAAGGAACTGGTTGCTTCTCCAAGTTTCATTTCAAATATCAGACGAAGTTTTCTCGATGTGATATTCATGTATATATCAAGACCATCCTGTGCTTCACCATTAGTATCTTTAGTTAAAAAAACAAAGAAAGGAAGAAGTTTTAATTAGGGAATTTTTAATTAATTACAGATATTTATTTAAATAATAAAAAAAATCAAATTAAAACAGGCAAAATTTTTAGTTACACGATTTAATTACTTTAATTATATTTTTATGACAAAAAATCAAAAGAAACACAAACTACAATAACTTGTTTCAAATTTAAAAACTAAATAATGCAAGTATTTTTAAAAGCTTTAACACAAAGCCCTAAATCTACAATTATTGCAAAATTGTTTTAAGTATGTATGATTAGTTTATTGCCTTTCCCCGTAGGGCTTACAAAGCGTTTTTGTGAGGAACGTACCCAAACCTCTTACAACACATCCCCGTATTACCTCCTGGCCATTTGCGACCTCACAATCTTTATTTTCCCGGTCCCTCCCCGTACCCCTCTTCTTCTTCCTCTGCTTCCTCCGCGTTGTGTTCTTCTGTTTCCCTCCTTCCTGTCACGGCTCCTCCCTACTTAGCCCACTCTCTTTTCCTCTTATCCTCCTTTTCCTCATCCGAGTCCATGAGGAGCTTCTCCTCCATCCCTTTGAAGATCTCATCTTCCTCGGATCTTCCTGCGCTCCTGCAATCTTCACTCTTCCTTTCTAGTCTTCTTTCTTTCTCTTCTCTCTCCCTATCCCTCCGCTCCACTGACTTGTCCTCATCTATCTTCATCCCTATTCTATTCCCCGCTCTCCTCCTTGCCTCCAGCACACGCCATTTCTCCTCCTCATCCCCCAGCCTCCCTAATATCGGCCCCTCTCTGGCCAATCACTTTCACCTCTCTTATCTTCACCTTCACCTTCAAACCTTCTGTGAATAGTTCCTTTACCTTTTCCCAATTTGATTCCTTCCCTTCCCATTTCTCCTTCTCGATCCTTATTATCACATTTTTCTTTCTCATTTCTTCATCGTTCCTTCCTTTGTTTTAAGTAAATAATTTGATTAATTTTTTCCCTCACATACAAAGCATAAAAAAAGATATGTACATATGTATGTATATATTATACATATATGTAGGGTAGACCGGGGCACGTTGTCACACATTTTGTTCAATATTTTTTGTATTTTTTACATTCAATATTTAAGAGTACTTTGATATGCCAAAATTTCGAGTAAACCCTCAGCTTCAATTGGACAGTATCGAATTTTGTGTGATTGTTACTCTACAGTTGTTACATAACAATAAATAACGACAGGTCGCTTTTGACAACGTGCCCGTGACCGGGGCACGTTGTCACATCAAATGTAATTGCATGCAAAATGTTATCAAAACTATATTCAACGTAAATATCAATATATTATAGTGCTCTGCAATGTAAAAAAGTAAAATCCTTCACAGAAACATTTATTTTATTTCAAAAAAGTACAAAAAGCACGAAATTTTCGTCTTAATCTAAATACAAGAATTCCACTCAAATGCGCAACTTATTGATACTCGACTACTCTCGCAGTTTTCCGTTTGTAGGAGCGCACCATATCCCAATTGCACCTATGACATTAAAATTTTTGAATTAACGTATTATTTTTGTAGTGACAACGTGCCCCGAAGGCATTTTTTTACTTCAAACAGCCTCATGGCCGACACGTTTGAGATATTCATAAGGTTAAGTATTGCACGCGGTAGGTAAAAGTACATACTTTAAGATAATATAAAGGTCTATTCTAAAAAAATATAAGCTTCATGTCCAGTACGTTGAATATTAGACAATAAAATTTTACTTACGGTCGCAAAAAACTTTCAAGTTGATTTTACGTCAACACGGCTGGAGCAATCTCAACACTGTAAACACACCAAAGATGGGCATACACTAACACGTTTTGGGAATGACGGGTGCTGCCCTCTGATTATTTGTTTTTTAAATAAAGCCGATGTGACAACGTGCCCCGTGTGACAACGTGCCCCGGCCTACCCTACATATAAAAGAATTTTTTCTATTTTAATTTACATCAGAAACGTACTCTTTTGATTTGTATGTCATGTAACACCCTATATAAAGTTAATTGTATACAGTAGTAATTATAGTAATTATTGAATAAAGTCAATCCAACCAGCACTGTCTTTTAAGGCCGGTGTCCACGATGCTAGAACTTGACACAGGCCTTTAGCCGAGCGTACATCAGTGAGCCGCGCGCCTAGTACTTATAGTATGCGCTCACTCATACTACCAGGCGCGCGGCTCACTGACATACGGTCGGATAAAGGACGGCGCACATCGTTAAAAACGAGGCCAAAATTCATTTTTTACGACTTTTTAAATACGTATTTTTAATTACTAACAATAAGTCTTATTATATGACACTTCAAAAATATTATTTCACTATAACATTTAATCTAAGTTATTTGTTCATAGAAAATATACGGTTGTTAATAAAAGTAAGGAATTTGTACTTTAAAATTCTATTTCTATAAGTTTGCAGCAAATTTGCTAATATAATCCATAAAATAATTATAGTACATTTTAAAATCTTTATTTTTTCCCTTTATTTTTCAAGCAAATTCAACATATAGTGATAACTTTTGTAAAGTATTATAATTATAAAGAGGCCTTTCTTTGCCCGAATTATACATATAAACGTTATTATTATTAAAAATGTAAGCAAGTGTAAGCTAAGTCTCTTGGAAAAAAATGGTCTGTATAGTATCCAGTTTAAGTATATTTTTCATTTAAGTGCGGATAAAGAAGTTATTTGATCATTTAGTGTGATTGCGGTCTCTTTCATTACATACCTAAATCACTAAAGATAGAAAAATCGTTATAGTACTATTATAATACATTAATAAAAATATGCAAACAAGTAAAAAAAATGTACTATAAGAAAACGAATAGCATATTATATTTATCTTTTAATCAAATGTATGTAATCTTTTTATAATTAATTTGCTATCTATTACTATTTGTTCGGAGGGTAACTTTACCTTTTGTATCTTTTCCAAACTGTAATTGTGTATAATTTATTTATAATTAACATGACAGTGTAATGACCGATAAAGCAAAAGTTAAAATTGTTTATTTTGCCTTTTTTTCCTCAAAATGCGATGACACTATATATGTTTTCAAAATCGCTTGTTCTTGACGCAATTACCGTATCTCTTGAAACACAAGATGCTCGTCTAAGTCATATGACAATCAAAACTAGTGAGAGTATAACATTATTATATAATAATTCCTATTTTGTAGTTGTTACAGAGAAATTTATTACGAAAGACCCTCCTGGCCGTCCATTAGTTGCTTTCGACAATGCTAGTGCAAGATTAAAAAGGAGAAAAGCGGCTGAAATAATAAAGCAATATAATGTTAATTAATTATACAGTGCTACTACTTCAAATCTTAGAAAAGCGGAAATAATAAAGCCGTTAGCATTATAACAAAAAGTACTAATGTAGTTAAAAATACACAAACAGTAATTACTCGTTTAACATCCGAAAAAGCCCTTAATATGATAATTACAGCAAAACTATTAAAGGAAAGTTATAAAATAAGAAAAAATAACATTAAGATCTTTTATTTAAATGTTGATGTAACAATTTTTTTTTTATTTTTACTGAAGTTATAGAATTTTGGCCGCGTTTTCCACAACTCGGCCTACTGTACGGCACTGAGTGGATTGACTTTACTCACTAATTACTATTTTACTAAGCATTATAGAAAAAAATAGCTCAGGACTTTTCGACTCAATTTTTTGTAAGGAATATCATTGTGTAAATAATGGGCGCAAATTTGGTGATACCCTGTATATTAAAAAAAGTATGTTTATTAAAAGAGCACGTTTCTGATGTAAATTGAAATCTTTGAAGTAGAAAATAAACTTAAATCCAATTCAAAATAGTTATCTATTTAGAAGTGTAGATATAAATAAATATGGAGCATTCCATGCCAAATCACCGAGGATTTTCCTCGACCATTTTTGATTTGGCAGAAATTTTTTTGTTTTTGTACTAAATAAAAGTAGCTTTCATGATTTTTTTTAGATTTTTATCTTTACCCATACTAAAGGTATGGGTTTTTTCAAAAATATGCGGTTTAAAATTTCAAATGCCTATAACTTTAAGAAAAAAGATATTGTAAAAAATGAGGTAATTCTTTTTTTTCGTTTTTCACTGTACTTTTCGAAGAAAATATCGATAAAATTTTTAATATAACTGTTTTTTTTAGGATTTAAATAAAAAATATTTTTTTCTCAATGCAACTGTTTTGACTTTTTTCAAAAAAATTTCAAATCCAAGACTTAGTTTCGAAATTTTTAAGCCATTGGTGAAGATGAGATTTTAATAATTTCGATTTTTTAAGGAACTTTCTTTATTTATTTTTGAAAATAATTTATTTTAAATAAGATAGACTCTACCGAAATTCAAAAATTTTTTATTTTTTAATTGCATTTTTACTTATTTTTATTATTAAATTAATTTTTTTTTATGAAATATTATAAATTGGGGAACTTAAGGGGATCCTGCAGTGACTGGCGAACTTCCTCGAGGTCAACCTTTCTAATTTTGTTTTCCCTATATCTGTCTTTGTCTAACGAAATGACATCTGTCCTTTTTTCGACTGCTCGCCATCTTACGCAAGATCCGGCAACTACTGTTGCTGCTCTTCTTGTCATCCTGCATCCGTATTTGCATCACTAAAATAATTATTAGATGGATCTTTTTTTGTACGCATTGAATCTTACTTCTACTTACACGATATTATTCCTACATGTTTTCCCAAGGGTGGATGATAAACATTATGTACGTATAAACTGTAGAATTTTTGTTTTAAGCAAATATTGTCGTCAGGTGACAGCTGTGTATGTGCCCCAATAAGTAATATTTTTAATTTTTTGGTGCTTTTGATATAAAATCGCGTTTTCCACCCTAGATTTTTGTGCGGACTTTAATTCTAGACTAAAAACTTGCAATTCTGTAAAGCCAATTAAAAGATCCATTGATTAACGATAATGTCGGTAAATCATACGGCTGCAGGATCCCCTTAACTTATAATTGGGGATAGCATGTGACACATACGCATGAATCGTCATACAACTGATGTACTCTTGTATTAGATTTATAATCTCGATTTGGAGAATTCATCGATGTTTTTCTTGTTGTGCAATTCAGGGAGACTCATTTTCACGTTCGTATCAATGGTATATCTTTTACATGAAGCACATCTTGTGATGAGTTGACAGCGATCGCTATAACTCGAGACGCCATATTAGGATAAAAGTAGGTAAGGAAATCTGTAATTCCGTAATTTTTTCTTGTTTTCTATATAAAATCGGAGTTTCCCTGAATCAGTGACGTATGTACTGCTATTATGGAGAAGCATTTTTAACTCTGTCAAATTAATACGACACTACATGAGTAGAAAGAAAATGGTAATTTTATCGATAAAACAGACGACTCCAGCATCACCTTAACATCAAACAATGAATCGGTAATATTATCTTGAAGTGCTGAAATATCTGCGAGAAAATGTCAGGAGAAAAAGGCTGGAACTGTGGAGAAACAAATCCTGGTTCCTCTATCACGACGTGTCCACACACACATCAATGCCTATTTGTGAGTTTTGTGCCAAAACGGAGACAACTGTGCTTCCCTGACAATTTTCTCGCAGATGTTTTAGCACTTCAAAATAATACTACTAATGATTCACTGCTTGTTTGATGTTAATATCTTGGTTGTGAAACGTATTGTCATTCATCTTGAAAATCGCAGAACACTTACAATGCTCTCATAAACAAAGCGATACAGCACGATAACTAATCACAATAGAAAGACATGATAAACAGGAAGTTACTTGCTAAGATCGCTGCTGGTAGCACTGCTTACTGCACATTGCAATGTGCTTACTGCACATTGGTATAACATTAGACAATTTTTGGCGATCATTTGGTATGGTTTGATACATATACCAAAGTTGCTATCGGTGGTTGCTATTGGTTCTGGTGCAATTTGGTACCCTTTGGTTGCTTATACCAGTCACGCCAAAAATCGCCTATTGTATTAAAGCACTGTTATAAACGCTCAGAAAAAATTTTTAACAGACCACGTATAGTTTTTCAATTAATGTTCATAATTATATCAATATACAAAGTATCAGATAATAAGCTAACCACTTCTCGTGGACAGGTAGAGTAAATTAAACTGAAGCAAAAAGTCTTTGTTTTGTAAGTTTCAAAATAATTAATGAAAAATGTACAAAATGGGAAAGAACTTTTTGACCTGCCTACAAAGAGTGGGCCACTTATTACCTAATATCCTATATAGAATTAATATACAACATATAGAAAAGCTTGAAAGATACCTATACCACATTTGAAATCCTGATCAATAGGCAATATTCCTTCCAGAGTAAGATCGCTATACACCTGTGGTGGTGTTCTTGAAGTTAGAAAGATTGCTAAAGCATGGGTTGTGCCTTTGTAAATAAGAGCTATATATCTTGAAGATTGTATCCAGCCTTGTATTAATGACGCTTCTGTAGCCTTAGATTAATATAGTTAAGGCATTGCAAAATGTATGTTATTCAGTAATATCAAAATGTGATAATAAAATGATTTATAATTCAACATAGTATTTTTAAACAATAATAAATTGCTATCGATCAATGACAGTGAGAGGTTTCCATCAAGCGACACAAGTCGACAAAAACGTCTTTCTATCTTTATTTTTTTGGCAATAAGTAACAAAGACAGAACGACACTTGTATCGACTTGTGTCGCTTGCTGAAAAGCTCTCAGTATATATCTGCTATTCATTAAGTTCAGAAAAGGATACAGTTACAACGGTCTCGCCCGACACAAATTTTGATTGCACTATCGCTAATGGCTCGGATGTCGACATCTCACTTGTTCACCGTATATAAGTAATCAATTAAAACTTATATAATTATCTGAAATATACAATTTATGTATATCTGCTTTATTTTGTATGTTATAATGTATAATAATGAAAATAAACAGTCACTTTTGACAACTCACTTCTGGAACTTTGTAAAGCGAGCAAATAAGAACTGTATATATATATATATATATATATATATATATATATATATATATATATATATATATTATATTTCACGGTCGATATGCACACACATGGGATATCTCAGGGATGCGTTCAGAAATTCAATCTGGGTAACTCTAAAGGTGCTTTTACATGGGAGCGTCGAGCGCATGAAGTTAAGGCCATTGCACACAAAATTAGGAATGAGCGCGTTCAGCAGACCAAGCTGCTCAGTAGCAGTCGAACATGATTGGTTCTTACTTTTAAAACCAACCAATCAACGTAGAGTGTTGATAAGACGAACTCAACAGTTGTATCTGCTGAACGCGACCAATGTTTGGTGTAAAGCGGGGAGCACACACTTCTGCACAACGCATAATGCGTAAGCATAAGAAAATTGATTGGTCCATACACATGTGCATAAGGAAATAGACCAATCAATTTTCTTATGCTTACGCATTATGCGTTGTGCAAAAGTGTGTGCTCCCCGCTTAAAGCTATATCCACACCTTGAAGGTCAATCCAGACAAACTTGCATAGGTGCATAACCATGTGCATAAAGAAACGGATTGGTCTATTTCCTTATGCACATGCATATGGACCAATCAAATCTCTTATGCTTATGTTTATGCGATATGCAAGTTTGTCTGGTTACGCGGTTACGCGTTAAGGCTGATTTATAGAGACCGTAACCGTTGATTTAAGCCGCAATATTTAAGAAATTGACCAATCACAGTCGAATGTGAGAAGAAAAATCGACTGTGATTGGTCAATTTCTTAAAGATTACGGCTTAAATCAACGATACGGCCTCTATAAATCAGCCTTTACGCGGAAAATACATGCCATGTGACCGCAGCCTAAATGGCCTAGTTTACACCGATCTCTTGATACGCGTATCAAATAGTATATTTGAACTGATCAGCCAATAATCAGACTTATTTACTAGTTATTTACTATTTAATACGCGTATCAAGTGATCGATGTAAACTAGGTCAATGTGTTTCATGGGCAGTGAAAAGCAGCAGCAGATCGTACTGATTGGCTACAAAATAGAGAAGTTCTCGAGTTTCTAGATCTTTTTTGGAACCGGTATCTGAAATTTTTCCAATTTTTTGGGAAATAATTGACCCTTAAAGAATTGTATATAAAACAGGAGTAGAATTTCCCGGGAAGTGCCATAAAGTGTATAATTTTTTGTTACCGATTTTTTTGGAAACCGGTATTAAAAATTTTTTCACTTTTTCGGGAAATAATTGACCAAATCTTAAAGAATTGTAAATAAAACAAGAGTAGAATTTCCCGGGGAGTGTAATTTTTCGTTACTGATCTTTTTGGAAACCGGTATCAGACATTTTTCCAATTTTTCGGGAAATAATTGACTGAATCTTAAAGAATTGTATATGCTTTTACATTAATCTATCGTATCGATTTAGTTAAAACCGGTTCAAAAATTTTATTAATTTTTTGAGGATGGGTGTTTGAAATGCACACGTAAATAGATAATACAGAGAAAGATAGAGAGTCTAGTATCTAAAGTCAATTACTAAAGGTTCCATGAACACACACAAGAGAACGGGTCATGCCTGTTTTGTCTACTAGAGAAACTCTAGACAAAACTAGAGTTCCTCTAGTAAGGGCCTAAACAGAATGGCTGTCTTATAACCTTAAAGCAGTGTTTTATGCCTTAAGTTTTTGTCTTATGTAACACACAATACTATGTTAATGTTTCCTGTCTTGTGTAGTATACGCGACGTATACTACACAAGACAGGAAACATTAAAGGTGGAAGCACATAAAATTGCAGGAGCCATGAGCAGAAGGCAGAAGCCATATGCGCATGCGCTGTGGTATCTGTAGAGCTCTACAAATACCATAGCGCATGCGCATATGAGTTCTGCATTCTGCTCATGGCTCCTGCAATTTTATGTGCTCCCACCTTAACACAGTATTGTGTGTTACATAAGACAAAGACTTAAGTCATAAAACACTGCCTAAGGTTATAAGACAGCCATTCTGTTTAGGCCCGTACAGTATTGTGCGTTACATAAGACAAAGACTTAAGGCATAAAACACTGCCAAGACAGCCATTCTGCTTAGGCCCTTAGGACACCGTCCGCCATTAAGAGGGAATTATGCGAACGATCGAGAGAGACAGCCTGAGACAGCCTCTCCACTCGTACTTTTCATGGGTCTTTGTCTCACTCCCACTTATAGCTTTGTCTCACTCCCACTAACGTCTTCCCCATTAATGACGGAACCAATCAGGAGTCAGACCGGGGTGTCCTAACTCTTACTAGAGGAACTCTAGTTTTGTCACTACATTGAAAGCGTAAGAGATGGTAACACTGCGCACCGATTCCCGCATCACGCGTGCATCACGTGATGAGGGAAGAGGTGGGGAAACGCGAGACCGCGCGTTCGGCCCGGCGATCCAGACATTCGAGAATAGTCCGTCGGCCGCAGCGGGAAGTGATCCGCGCAGTTCCTTGGGCCTAACAAACCCACGGCATTAACCCGAGTTCCCGACACCGCGGACATACACACACAACTACACATACTCGCGTCAGTGCAATTGAAAAAAGACACGCCTCACGGCTCATACTTGCGTCAGTGCAATTGAAAATAGACACGCCTCACGGCTCATACTTGCGTCAATGCAATTGGAAAAAGACACGCCTCACGGCTCATAAGACTATTGGTTCGCCCTGGCCGTTTTCGCGGCAGTATTGCCTAAAGCAGGCCAATAAACATACGAAGAAGAAGAAGAAGAAGAGAATAGTCCGTCGTTGCGTTAACATCTTTCTGAGTCACTTCGTGGGCCTTCTGCCGTAGAATTCTCTCGAAGCGAGAGACGTTATCGAGACGAGTGTATAATAAGTAACAGACAAGATATCTGTTTGATATAAGAATTCGTATCATCGGTACGACACAACGTTCAGAGAGACGATTGAAGGAAGGTATCCACGGCTATTATCTCAAGTCGCGCCATTATTACGCAAGGACTCGGCGACAAAGGGCGGCCATTTCAGGAGAGAACGATCTCATGTTCATGAGGCAGGGCAACCGCCCTGTGTCCTCACACTAAGTATATGGCAATTTGAGGCCATTTCCTGGTATTTGACGGACGAGTTCCTGCATAAGGAGGATCTCAACAGAAAGGTAACTTGATGATTTCCCTGTTGAGCCATTGATCATTTCTGGTGGTCATAATCGTCTGACCAAAGACAGCGGATATCGCTATTCGCTTACAGTCGATCGAACTAAGAGGATCTTTGGTTACAGGAGATCTCGAGATCTTATTGCTCTGGTCTTTGTATGGCCATGGAGGTATTCATTATTTATTCGTCTACTGTGGGACGTATGCTCTGGTCTTATTAGACAAGGCCATGTTTGTTCCGTCCATTTTTTGGGACACAGACGTCTATAAATAAAGTCAAGGAAACGGTTGCAACGACATTTAAGCACATTATTTCTTTTGTTATTTTGCATATCGTTATACTAGTCACTGACAAATAGTACTTTTTTATTGTGAAATTATTTAGTATTTTATCCGTTTACTTATCCTAGTTATCGGGAAAAAGACTAACTAAGACTGTATATATTACTTCGAAATATCTTTTTTGCGTTATAATTCCATATATAGTGCGTGCGACGTAGATTCAAGTAAAGAATCTTTATTACACTCTCTTTCTAAATATTATCGATTAAGTGCATTTCTACGTGTAAATACATATTCAAATACTCTAATTATCAATTAGTTTTACTAGGAATAATTACCGCGAGTAATTATAACGAAGGAATAAATTTTCTATTAAGATTTCAGTCAAACTACGCGTTTCAGAAGTATAATACCGATTTATACTCATCTTTGATATAAGATTTTATATGCTTTATGTTTTATCTTGGTGGAATTACATGGAATAATTATTTAATTACAGAAGTGAAGATTGAAATCCTATAAAGAAAGTCTACTTTAGTTACGTATCAAAGGACTTAACTTTACATTTAATTAAAGAAAGATTCATTTCTTTCATTCTTCTGGACAATAATCGTTTGATAGATAGAATTGAAATACAACTAATTATTCTATCTAATCAGTTCTACATTGATTTATATTTTATTGTAGAGTTATGTGGGGTGATGTGCAACACTTTCACGCGTTGCTCGGAAAACATATCCAAAAATCAAATTCTTGAATATATCATGGCTGTATAATGTAGAGGAAGAAAAATACTACAATTCTGCGTGATTAGATTTTCAAAATTTTAAATTTTTCCTAAAAAATTTTCGAGTTTTCAAAAAAAAAACGTCTGTTTTAGCATTTTCAAATTTTCTTGGGGTGATGTGCAACACAGGTAAAATTAAGGTAAAAAATGCATGAATATCGACATCAATCGACTTAAATGTTAAATTTGGGCTTCTTAAATACAAATTAATCAAAATCTGGTGAACAAAAAATTTCACTGTATTGTAATTGACCTGTGACAAATGGAAATTTTACAAAAAAAATTCATTTTTTATTTGATTTCTTATTTATTTATCGCTTAAAAATTAATATAATGAAAGGAAAAACGCAACCGGATGATCGCTTTTCAACAATTTTATTGCTGCCCAAATTAGCTCGCAATTGACCGGAACAGCGATACCCTTATTTTTATACTTTCGTGGCATAATGACTAAACACATTGAAAAATGCATTAAAACACTTCATATACACATGTTCCATCGTAAAATAACAATAAACTAGCGAAAAATGAGTGTTGCACATCACCCCAAAAAAAGTGTTGCACATAACCCCAAACACGCTATTTTGCGCGGACTGGCGCGACACCAACACAACGTAAGAAAATCACAAAATCGCTGTGGATTATCAAAAGTACTTAAAAAACTAACAATATAAAAATATTTACCTATAAGATGACCTAAAACCAATTCACGAAATCACTATATGAATGTAAAAAGCGAAAATTACATTGAGCTCGAGAAATTTAACTCGCTTTTCGTATAGCAAACCAGGGTGCGTGCCATCTCGCGAG